GAATGATGCATCTCGAGCCTTGGACACGCCGCTCATTTTGCCCATCGTCTAGCCTCGTCAAGGAGCAGTTTGAGGCGCAGAGCTGGCGCCTGCTCACCCCGCCATTCCTTCACGCCGGCTTCCTCCATCTCCTCTCAAACTTGTCATGGCAGCTCACGTCGGGCGTCATGCTGGAGCGCGCGTGGGGCTCGTGGCGGCTCGCATTCATCTTTCTCGTCAGCACCCTGTTCGGCACTCTCTGCTCGGTCCAGATCCGGTCCATCGAGGTCGTCATCGTCGGTGCGAGCGGCGGCGTTGTCGGGTACGGCTTTGCTTCTATTTCACGCGGGTCGCGCGAACTGACCTCCCTGTGCGAGCAGAATGATGGGCTCGACGTTCGCCGACCACCTCATCAACCGCCGCATCATCTACCAGGCGCGATGGCAGCTCGTCTTCTGGGTCTTCAGCACCGCGCTCATGCTCGGAATCGGCCTGCTCCCGATCTTCGACAACATCACGCACACGGCCGGATTCTTTGCCGGGGTCGGAGCAGGCCTCGTCGCGATCCCGGACCTTACGGCATTCGACCGGGTCGGGCGGCGGAATCTCTGGGCGTACCGGATCGCGGGCATGATCATCCTCGTCGCCCTGGTCGGCACGTCGCTCGCCACGCTCATGCACTCGATCCCGTGGCAATGCGGGTCGGCGTTCGACCGCGCGTGGTGCTGCTACCTGTTCCTCTCGCTCAAGTGTTGATGAGGGAAAGAGAGCCGTGGCACGCGCGAATGTGTATTTCATGTCGACCCAGTATAACCGCCTTCCCCGCTCCCGAGCCCGTACGCGCCGGCCCACAGCTGGACGAGGATCCACAGCAGCGAGGCGCCCGTCGTGGCCATGAGCTCAAGCTGGGTGCCCGAGGCCGCGACGAGGCGGTCGTACATGTTGTTGATGACGTTCGGGTCCGCCTCGTAGAAGACCTTGTCTACGGCGCGCGACACGGCACCGTGGTTGATGAGAACGAAGAAGCCGGCGATGACCACGGTCACAAACTTGAGGGCGAGACACCCGATCCACCACACGACGCGCGCCGGGTCCCACCTCCACACCTCGACGAGGATCGGGGTGTGGTCGTCATCATGTGGTACGACCGACTTGCGGCTGCGGAACCCAAAGAGCGGGGACGTCGGCCGGATCTTGGCGCTCCAAGTGCGCGAGGTGAAGGCGACCGCGGCGAGCGACCACGCCCACCGCGTCCACGACCACGCGACGGGCGCGAGCAGCGGCACCGCCTCGAGTCCGGCCGAGAGCGCAAGAAGGGCCCGGCCGATCCCGAGCAGCGAGCGCGTGAACGCGTCGACCGAGGCGACGTAGGCCGCGTCGGCGGCGAGGGCGTCACAGGACCCGATCGCTGCGAGGTGAAGCACGAGGTCACCCGCGAGGAGCAGCGTGACAGGGATGGAAGGTCGAGAAGCGGTCTCCTTCATGATTTCATGTAGTTCATTAGCGCCAGGCCGTGAGTGGGTTGCACCGAGCGAGAACATGAATGAAACGCGGCGAGTGGCACGGGCTCGCGAAGGACGCGCGGAACTCGGGGCACACGCGCGCGTGGCACCTGACGCGTGGGCGCGCTCCGCCACCGCCTCAGCCACCGCCACTTCAGCGATCGCCCAGTCAGAAGCAAGAGCCCCCGCATCTCGGGAGCATCGAAAAAATAGCACCGTAATCACGTCGAGCGTTGCTCCATGCGTTGTCTTGCGGCGAGATCGGTTGATGGAGTGCTCGGAGGAGCCGAGGAGCGCGGCGCGGTATAAAACGAAGGCGGGCCCCGGCCTCCGCCTCGACCAGCTCCGTACGCTAGACGTCCTGCCCTAACCTCCCATCCGCTATCGCACTCGCTTCGTTGATCGAACCGAGCTCTAGAACCGTAGACGATACGCTGGTCATCGCAGCAGCAAGTCCTCGATCGCGGTCGATCGCTCACACTCGCGTCGATCCCCCCGTCCAGGTTTCTCCACCATGAAGTCCAACACCGCCATCCTCCTCCTCGTCGCGCTGATCGCGCTGTGCGCGCCTGCCGCCGAGGCCCACTTCCGCCTGCTCTCGCCGCCGCCGCGCAACCCGGGCTTCTGCGGCGCCTTTACGACGGGCGACTGCCCCTTTGGCGGTTTCGACAAGTCTCGCGCCAACCCCAAGACCAGCACGTTCCGCCGCGGGCAGTCGGTGGCCGTGACATGGCCGCGGAACAACCACCCGGCCGGGTTCATCAAGCTCGCCATCATCCCGTTCGGCTCGCCCGAGACGCTCGACAACATTGACAAGAACATTGTGCAGTTCTCGTGCCACGAGGCGACGTGCAAGTCCGGCTTCCCCAACGATCCGCTCGGCGGTGACAACAAGCCCGAGGACACCAACATCTGCTCGACCTCCGTGACCATCCCGTCGTACCTCCCCGACGGCGAGTACTCGCTCTTCTGGTCCATCTACGGCGCTGGATCATTTTTTGGACGAATCTTCCAGGGACAGACTGATTATTACATGATGTCCGACTTCACGCTGTCGGGCGGAGCGGCGGTGGACCCGTCGTTGCGTCCGGCGTGCCCCAAGTTCATCCCGGGCGACGCGCACAACCCCGCGTCCAAGGGCGTTTGCAAGTTTTTCGGCACCGGTAAGGCCATGTCGTGCCGTCCTGACGGTTGCAGTGGGTCGTACCGCGACGGTATCCCGGTCGAGCTCGCGCAGTGCCTCGCGGCGAACCCCGGCGCGGGCAACGGCGCCAAGCCCGCTCCCCCCGCCCCGACCTCGTCCGCCTCGGCTCCCGCCCCCACCTCCCTCGCTCCTCCCGCTGCTCCTCAGCCCACGTCTGCTGCACCTGCCCCGAAGCCGACTGTCTCTCCCCCGGCCCCCAAGCCGACGTCGGCCGCGCCCGCGCCGAAGCCCAAGCCGACCATCCCCGCCGGCTGCCCCAAGCGCAAGACCGTTACGGTGACCAAGACGGTGACGCGCGCCCCGCGCTCGACCGTCTGATGGTGAGTATGACGATGTGTTTGTGAACATATAGCTCGTTGTCCCCTCAATACTTCAACCATCCGTCAACTTTGCTTGAGCGAAGGAAGCGACGCGTTCGCTCTAAAATGTGCTCGTTGAGTTAAGCTTCGTCGAGAGTTGGAAACGAGTTCCTTCCGAAGGACCAAGATGATTCCCACGCTTGCATCCAGCACCTTGTGAACCGCGCGAGACTTGCTGGCACTCGCAGCTCAACGACGCGATGGCTGGTGCCGCTCTGAACCAGGCTCTGAACGCTGACGCTCGCCGGACACACGTTTAAGTCGGAAATTTCATCACTCGTTGATCCTCGAGGTGAGAGCCGAGAACAGCGCGACTCGCACGCTCGCGACGGCGAGTGGGAGACGCGTCGCGATATCAGGTGACGGCGGTTTCAAGCCTGAGGCGCCAGGTGACACCACGCGCGGTGATTGGCTGGATCAGCCCGGCCACGCTGGTCCACTCACCACGCGTCGATCATCCCGCCTCGCCGCCACCGAGCGAACGAAAAAAGAGAAGGTCGCTGTGCCACCGACCGCGGCCGCGCAACACAACACAGCACAAGGGTCCCTCACCGCTCCGCTTTCCTCGAAAACGGCGACTGCTATAAGAGGCGCGCGCTGCTGCGGAAGCCATCCACGCTCCCGACCCACTCAAGACCTCCACTAGAAGCCCGTACGTCCTTGTGGCGCCGTTGCAACGGTGTTGCATGACGTTGCTCGTGAGCACAGATAGACTGATAGGACCCGACGATCCGGCGTGTAGTGCTGCGACCATGAAGAAATCGCTCACCCTCTCGATCCTGGCGCTGGCCGTCATCCTCGCCCTGACCGCGACGGCGCCCACGGCCGAGGCCCACTCGCGCCTCCTGTCGCCGCGCCCGCGTTACGGCGCCTACTGCTCGTACCACTCGTTCGCCACCGACGAGGTGTGTCCCGCCGCCGGCTACGCGCCCAAGGAGCTCGCCAATCCCGACGCGCTCGTGTACAAGCGCGGCACTGCTGTGCCGATTGTCTGGCCCCGGAACAACCATCCTGGCGGCTTCATCTCGCTGTCGATCATCCCGTTCGACATGGAGGAGACGTTCGAGAACTTCGAGGCCAACGTCGTGCAGTGGTCGTGCCACGAGGCGACGTGCAAGTCGGGCTACTCCAACGACCTGCTCGGCGAGGACGCTCCCGGCACGCCCGAGGACGGCAACCGGTGCTCGACGACGCTCACGATCCCGACCTACCTCAAGGACGGCAAGTACACGGCCCGCTGGGCCTGGAGCAACGGCGGCGGCTTCCGCGTCATGGAGCGGGGGCACGTCGACTACTACTCTGCCTTCGACTTCACTGTTTCTGGTGGCTCGTATGACGCCTCGTCGCGTCCGGCGTGCCCCACGTTCATCCCCGGCGACGCCCACAACCCGGCCTCCAAGGGCGTGTGCAAGTTCTTCTCGACCGACGGCAGCAACTTTGGCTACCCGCGCGTCTGCAACCCCGACGGCTGCAGCGGCGAGCTGCGCGACGGCCAGCCCGGCCCGCTCCGCGACTGCCTCGCCAAGACCGGCACCTCGCTCAACGCCCCCGCTGCCCCCGCGCCCGCTGCTCCGGTCCCGAGCGTGACGGCCGCCCCCGTCCGCGGCGCCCCCGCCGTTCGTGAGCCCGACTGCTCGCCCACGGCCACGGTGACCGTGACCAACACCGTCACGGTCACCGTCACCGTGACCCCGGCGGTCGACGACGAGGAGTAGTGTATTTGTATTTGTATTTCATTGTGACCCCGTAGTATTGCAACATGTAGAGCACACTTGATTCCACTCTTCTTAGTTCTGCTTGCACCGCCAATGTACGATAGATCCGCTTGTTAGCCATCATGTATAATAGCCATCACGCAGGTTGATCGTCGTGATGGAACAGCGACCAGGTCTCAATCACATCAGATTTGAGACGAGGAGGACGCGTCCCCCGCACACGTTCCCTTGAACTCCCGAGCGCTGCGAGAACTTGAGCTTTGGGAACCTGCGCAGGCAAGCCTATTCGCTTTCAAGGCGAACTCCTTAGACCACTCGGACACGCCATCTTTTTTTGGTTTCCCATACCTATTACCCGCTGCCGTTCAATGTATACCCTTGTGCCACTCATCCGGTGCCGTATCGTGCCCTTCCGGCCGGTCTTTGGGTCGGGAGCGCGGGAATCTTGCGGCCTCGGAACGCGATGCCCGCTGATGGCCCAGCGTGATCTCATGCGCGATTCTTGTCGACCCGGTTGCCCCTCCTTGCGCAGTTTCGCTACCAGTGAGCATGCCTGGAGCGTGACACATGTGGAATGGGTCCTCTCATTGCTCAACGTCCGAACCCGAGCCGCGACCGAAGCGAAGCATGTCCGTGGGCGGCGGCGACGCGTCGTCAACCAGGCGCTGGTCACCCGCGCGAACTGTTTCCTCTCCTTCTCCTTCACTCGCTGTCCCAGATGGTCGGAGAGAAAACATCATCACGTTTATCTAAGGACACTTCGTTCCCCGCCGACGGACAGGCTCTCCACCTCGCGACGGCGACCGGTGGAGGGCGAGACAAAAAGTGTCTCGCAGCGGTCACGTGTTTGATCGACGCGTCCTCTCCTCTCCTCCCCTCCCCTCCGCGTCGCAATATCACGTGCGCACGTCTCGCACGGCTGCAGCGGGTGCGCTGTCCCCCATTTAGGCGACGGCGCGTCAGCATCAAACAGCCACGGCACAGTCGAGGGGTTAGAGCACGCAGGACCCCGCACCCTGGAATGGGGCTGCCGCCGCCTGCGCAAGCTTGAAGCGCCTTGCTTTTGCTTCGAATCCCGATTACTTTTTGGCCCAGTTGTTTGATGCTTGTTCTGCTCTGCTATCGAATGCACTGCATGTTGACGTATCCTTCACAAATTTCGTATTGAGGAACGCAAACAAATAGCGTCGCGGACGCGTCGAGATATCACCTGGACATGAACCTCACGTGCGCATGTCTCGCGTGGCTGCAGCGGGAGTGCCGCCGTCCCCCATTTAGGCGATGGCGCGCCGGAAAACAGCCCCGCACTGAGTCGAGTGAGCTAGAACACGTAGGACACCGGACCCTCACAAGGTGCCGCCGCCTGCGCTGCGTCGGAGCGCTTAGCTTTTGTTTCGAACCCCGCCCCCGCTTTTTCTTTTGCCCTAAGTGCGCCGCCACCAACGTATTTGACTGGAGAGCTCGGCTACGTCGTCAACCGCGAAACTTACAGACAATTCAAATTGACCGCGGCATCACCCGCGATATGGTCGACGGCCTCATCAACGGGTACCAGCTAGCGTCGATCCTCGTCATGATCGGGACCGCCGCGCCCGCGTTCCTCATGTTCCTCGAGCTGATCGGCCTCGCTTACTCTTCTCTGCCGAACCTGTTCCTCGCGTCCAGCCGCGAGCTCAACCGCATCGACTCGCTGGCGCGCAGGCTAGCGGACACGTCGGTGATCCGCGCGTACCGCTACGAGACCCGGTTCCTGGCCGAGCTGTACAAGCAAATCGGCCTCAACCATCGCGCTTTCTTCTTCCTGTGGATCAACAACCGCTGGCTGACCGTGCGGACCGACCTACTCAGCGCCTTTATCGTACTGTCGAAGGGCATGGTGCTCAAGCTATCGCGCTTGTAGATAGAACCGGCGCTGATGGGAATTATCCTGTCGTCCGCGTTCAACGTCGTCGAATACCCCATGCGGCTGATCTACTCTACATGCAGATCATGGTCGAGACATGCGCGCAAGCAGCGTCGAGCGGGTCGACCACTTGCTGCACCACGTCGAGCAGGAGCCCATGAGCGGCCTCGCGTCGTCGCAGCTCCCGCTCAGCTGGCCCATGCATGGCGCCGTCGAGGTGCACGACCTGAAGGACTAGTACTAGGCGACGGCGGGTCCCGCGTACTGCGGCCGCACTGGCGCTAGCAAGTCGAGCCGCGGGAACGAGGGAACGCGGGAACGCGGATCGGCTGCATGCTCGTGTCGCGTGTGCTCGCTGGCTGCGTCATTCCGCGTAATGTGCACCAGTACGTGTTCGGATCAGACAATTGCCCCGTCGTCGTTGAGGTGGTTCCCACGGGAAATTCGGTGTTCGGCCAGTGGACCGAGCTCTCGCCGCGGTCTGTCAGCGAGGCACCCGAGCTGCGCGCGAGACGCGCGCCCTAGTTTACAGGTCGCGGCGGCCGAGAAGAAGTCGAAGATGCCAGCTCGCGCGCCCATGAAGCCTGCACCGCGACCGTCGCAAGCGATCCCAGCCACGAAACAGGCCTTGCTCACCGCGTTCCTCGCTCGTCCATAGCCGCCGCCACCTATCGCACAACCATCAGCCCAACTGCCAGCGGCCGTCACCGCACCAAAGCCTAACGCCGAGGCGGCGCAAGCCGCGTGGTCGACCGTGTTCCGCGGACCGCCGCCGCCGCCGCCCGTGTGCAGGCACGGCGAGCCGAGCGTGTCGCGCGTAGTGGGCAAGGCGGATCCGACGCGCGGCAGCACGTTCTGGGTTCGTGCGCAGCTTGTTGGCGTTTGTGCGAGTCACAGTGCGACCTTCTCATGGTACATAGATCCCGCTGGCTCACATAACCTAATCGCTGACACATTCGCCTATGTAGGAGGACAAAACAAGGCAGCAGAAGTAAGGGGATGATTGTGCTCGCATATACGTCTGCAAATCCACGTGAAGCGTCGAGAAGTTGTCAGCCGCGATGGTAACGTTCAGCTGATGCCGTGGCACCCCAGAGTCTCGCGACGGCCATATTCCGCCTCGTCGAGTGGAAGTCGGGCGACTGCAGTCGCGTCAACGTGAGCGACGTGGACCTGCACATGATGCGCAGCAAAATGACCATGGTGCCGCAGGACTCGGTGCTGCTCAGCGGCACGATCCAGTCCAACCTCGATATCTTCGCGCAGTTGGGCGACCCGGAGCTACCTGACGTGCTGAATCTCGCACCTTCCACGTCGTACGCTGGATACGATTATCGACTACAACTATTTGCTCGTCCTCGACGCTTCCGCGGCACCGAGCACCGCTCGTGGGAGCCTATCCGCACGTCCACGCTTTTCGGCGAGTCGTGGGTTCAAGAGCTGCTGACGTGCAACAGCGAAACGCATTTTTCGGAAATCGCCCGTATGCCCCGCGAGACCTTCAAGGCCATCTGCCGCCTGTTCCGCGACCGTGGCCTTCTCGCCGACGGCCGCGAGCTGTCCGTCGAGGCGCGCTTCATGGTTTTTCTTGTCATGGCCGGCGAGGGCAGCACCAACCGCAACCTCAGGGAGCGGTTCCAAATCTCTGGCGAGACCGCGTCCAGGGTTCTGAAGCAGGTGCTCGACGCTCTGTACCGCCTGATGCCCGAGTTCATTGCCCAGCCGTCCGATTCTACACCCGTGCATGAGCGCATCGCCCATGACCCGAAATACGCTCCGTTACAGAACGCGGTCGGCGCGCTTGACGGAACGCACTTCCCGTTTGTTGTGCCCGCTAAGCTTCACGACTCGTTCCGAAACCGCAAGGGGGACCATCTCCTCGAATGTTCTCGCTGCCTGCGACTTTGACTTGAACTTCACCTACGTTCTCGCAGGGTGGGAGGGCAAGGCGCACGACTCGCGCGTGCTCTCGAACGCCTTCGCCCGTAGGTTCAAGATCCCCGCCGGCCGCTTCTACCTCGCCGACGGCGGCTACGCAAACCGCACGTCCATCATCGTGCCCTTCCGCGGTACCCGCTATCTTCTTCGCGATTTTGCCCGCGGCAAGGATGGGTACGTTCTCACTGCCATGACCATCACGTTGGCGCCATCTCATCTGCTTCACCAACGTACGTAGAGTTAAGAACCGCGAGGAGCTTTTCAATCTGCGTCACGCGTCGCTCCGCAACTCTGTTGAGCGTATCTTTGGCGTGCTCAAGAAGCGGTTCCGCGTCCTCTCGATTGGCGCAGCCTACCCAATCAAGACTCAAGTCAAGCTTGTGTACGCGCTCTGCACGCTGCACAACATGATCAACAAGTGGAACCAAGGCGGCGACGCCTTCTTTCGCGACGCCGAGACGGAGCTCCGGCGCGCGCGGGACGCGGCGCGTGAGGCGCGTGTGCGTGGGCGCGAGCCCCTGAACGACGAGAACGAGGAGGACGACGAGGCCGCTGTCCTCGAGGCCTCGCTGGACGGAGCTCGTCAGCGCGGTATCTCGCTTCGGAACCGCATCGCAAATGTTCTTTGGACCGAGTACAGGCGCGTCATGGCCGCTCGTGGGACCCGTCTTTGAAGGCGCGAAATAATTGTTGTACCCGCATGCATGCTGTAATATACTGATTTGTCAAGTACTATAATGTTATATAAGCGATTCCAGATGATTTGACGCGTCGCTGAGGTCAGAACGCATCGGTGGAGACGCGTCGATCAATCACGTGACGTGCGAGACACTTCGAGAACCACGCGTTTCTCAACGACTCGCGTCATTTTCGAGCGAAGGGTAACGATTGAAGACACGATGGACACAAAGCCAGATGTATTGGACACAAATGGGCGAGAACAAGGCCAGGAAGCAACGCGAGGGAGGGGGAAGTGTGCGAGAGAGCTACTGAATGAAAAACTCGAGGACGCGCTTGCGCTTTGGTTCGGACACGGCCATGACGCGAAGCGCTTGATCCTCGGTCAGGCGGGTGGCGACGTCGATCTGGTACTCTTCATTGTCGTTGTACACGTCCTGGACCCATTCAAGTGCGGCGGTCAGAACGGGCTTGGAGTCGGCGGTCGAGACGCTCTGGATAACCTCCTTGATGCCCATGAGGAACTCCGAGTCCGAGAGGCGACGCGAGCTGCTGTCCAAAGTGCGGCTGCGCTTGCTGGCGGGGGCCGCGTCGTCTTGACCATCGACACCTTCCACGTCACCAGACTCCTTGCCGTCCTGCTCGAGGTGCGAGTACTCGCCGGTGGCGGTCGAGCTGCCGAAGGAAAACAGCGTTTATACAGGCCGGGAAGTACAGCCTGAGGGTTTCGGGGGCGAGCAGACGGGCGATTCAGCAACGAGGGTTCCATTCAGCTCATCCGGGGTTCGAACCAAACCCCGCGAT